GAATAAGAACAACTAGCCTGTCATCATCAGAATGCTGATGCAGGAGGTTTTATGGATCAAAAGGTTTTTAAACATTTATTAGAGGACGTTAAGTTAAGTTAAGAGTTTTTCTCAAAAAGTAAAATTAACTGTAAATAAACCTGTTAGATAAAACAATAAGTGGAGCGTGAACTCAAAGCAAGATGGGATCAAAACAACGCAGATTCAGGACACGCTGGGAAAGGTTCTGTTTTACAGCAGTGATACTTTTAGGTTCAAAGCCACATTATTGTAAATTAAGATTCATCTTTTCATTCACCATGATAACACAGTATTGGTGCTTGTGAAGATTAATTTCCTTTCATCCAGGTYAAGGTAACTGAACAAATACTGTATCTCTCTTAGCTGCAACTGTTGGAGATTACCGATGAGTAAAAATTCAAGAAAAGGTGTACAATTTTAGTTTCAGACTCACCGAATTATCAGTGTTTACATCCAAACATCAACAAGCTGTCTGCCTGTGTTTTGTGAGTTGTTGAAACATTGCATTCTTGGTCATGCACATTATTTTGTTGTCTACCTTGGGCCACGTGTATACGATTTCATTTGTTCAAGTGCATGTTTTAAAAATTAAGTTATTTATCATTAGCATGGAATTCAGACTTGTAGCCTCAGCTGTTYAACAGTCAGCTGAAGGGCACAGTTGTGTCTTTATACTTTAGCGTGATTTTCACATACATCATGGTGCACTTTATCTTGCTATCAGTTTAAAAATACATGCAAGTTTAATAAGTTAGCAARAAAATGGTGGCAATTCTCATAAAAAATATAACTTTAGACTTAAAGGAGACACATGWTGCTTAAATCCTTTATTCACATTTAAATCCTTCAGTTGGAGTCTATAAAAAGTAGAACTACAAYGCTTTGGTYTGACTTCTCCTTATTGTAACTCCACAAGCCCTGCCCTTTTTTTCTGCGGTGTGTCTCAGATGAATTCATTTTGAGGATGTCTCTTTAAATTTGGCACCCCTCCAGCTYCCAGACTGGTTCATTCTAGTTTGATAGAGGGGTTTGATAGACGGGTTTAGGACTACATAGCTGTGCAAAAACGTTTTGTTTACAAATTAATTAAAAAATGTTAACGAGAGAAGACTTGTCCATCAAGCCTTACATGTTGGACCCAGAGTCTGACGCGGAACCAGAGGACAGTAAAGACCACCAAATTGTAGTGTCTTTGTAAAAATAATTTTCACTGATGAGAAAAGTACTTAAGTAAAAGTCAGAAAACTGTTCACAAAAATCGTGAACGTAAAAGTACTTTTATAAATGCTTTAAGAAATAAACCTGAATTTACTGAATCAAACTGGTTCACTAAACCAAGTAGAGCAAACTGAACAATACACATGTTTTCTTTTAAAGAAAATATGTATTTACTCAACTCTAAATTTACTCTATTAGGTTTAGTGGAACCAGTTCACATGACTTAGTTAAGTAAATTCAACCCATTTAATTTTGTATCGAGTAGGTGTTAAATTTTAAATGAAGAAGTAAAAGTATCACTTTCAGGTTTTAAATGAAACTAGATAAAAATTAAACAATTTTAAAACAACTTGGTAAAATTACAAATCCTCAAAAAAATTACTTAAGGACAGTAAC